ACCAATGCTGCTTTGCTCTAACCTTCCCATTCTTGTGCAGTATGGCAGTACAAAAAACATACAAGTGATGGCAAAGGTCAAAAAAAGGGTTAAAGGTCAATTGAAGTTCCACAGATGAACTCCCTCTGGAGCCATTCAAATGCAGTTAATACTCATAAAGCTTTCAGTAGGAACTGATTGGTCATAAACCGTGAAGATTTAGCAACTCCCGGCAGGAATATGTATTAGGTCAACTTTTTCCATCATTCACTGCAGTGGCCTCATGGTGGAATAATTCATTAGCCTGAACCGGGACAAAAACTTTGGAAATACTTCATTCACTCAAGGGTGAGTTTGGAGAAACACAAAATGTATGGAGTGAAAATTGACCCTCATTAATTTTTGCTTTGAAGTCAAACCAAGTTAAAACTTTTCCACAGTTATACGTGCTTTTATTTCAAGAAAAATAGTTTTGACTCGAGTCTGCAGTTAAATAAAACTCATCACAGCGAAGGAATTCAGGTAAGCCTTGCATAACAAATAAGAGGAAGTACAGTCTGTCTCTCCAAAGCCACATCAAACCCTTTTTTTATAACGGATTAAGATCTCATAAAGTCTGGTCTCCTCTCACTGATCCCAGTGAACATTCCTTCATTAACCAAAACAACATTTACCGTAACAGCAAAGACTACCTTGGATAAACATGCTGTTTTGGTTGTCTTTTAAAGTCTGAAAACATCCTGTCTTAAAGAACAGAAGCTTTTAAAACATGCTTCGGATGTTCAGGTCATGACAGGAGACGATCCGATACATCAGACTTTTTTTCCAGGCCCTGAAAAGGAAAACAGAACATTACAGAGCTCATATAGGGCAACTATTGAGCAGTAGTCTCCAAAAAGTTGCCCCGTGATGCAGAGTGGTTAACTGTTTAACAAAAGAATGATTGTCTAGGTTATTTGATCATTTAATACAGCCATTCCTTCAGTTATTTAATGGCATGCTCTGGATGTCCACAAATTAAAAGCTGAGGGCAAAAGCTAACTTGGGCAGCTGCATGCATCTTTTAGGATTGCTTGGTTAAACTCTTAAAACTGAAATTTGATTAGTTTGATATGTTAAATAATGTAATTGCATGGTACCACGGCAGATCACTGTTTGAATAACTTTGAAAGAAAAACCTAAATAAATTGTCCTTATGGGCAAGGTTTAATATTGAATTAATTATCATCATGTTCTTATACAACAGACAGTGTACAGTGGAACAAAACACAACAAATGTAGAAAACACAAAGCGCACATATTGTGGTTAGAAATGTAATAACAATGCTCTCGGTTCCCTTTAAAGTAAAAATACATTTTCAAAAGTCGACAAAAGTGTTCTAAAAAAGAGACAAGGCTTTTGGTAGAATCACTGTAAGTAAACAACATTTTTTATTTTTGCATCAATTCCAACTCCTCAACTGACATCCTTAGCATTAAACATTTCCACCATACATACTCTACTCCTGTACAGGCAGTAGCTTTTGGGACCCCAGTGAATAATACAGCACTGACAGTAACTGTGTTGACTTTAAGTCACTGAGGAAAAAGCTTCATAGCAATTTCTTTGACCTCCAGTGAGCTGATGTCTGGCACACATCTTCGCTGTCCTGTTGAAAACTTGGCTGACAGGTGAACTGATGTTTCCCTGATGATGACAAATACAGCTTTCCGGGTTCATTCTCACAACAACTTGTCATTTCCAGGCACATCCCCAAACAAAACTTGAGGTCCAAGTAAACAGATTGTTCCAGTCACATTATGACAAACAGCACCTTTTCTTCAAGAAGTGTCATTTTTACTTGTTGAGTAGCATCACCCATGTGCAAAGGTTTTTCTTGTACACAATTGAAAGGTTTCATAGGTAACAGATAAATTACTCAACTCAAAACTGCCATTAGATCTGTGTCGGGGAAGGTTGTTAAAAAAATATTTTAAAACACAGATAATAATTAACAAGTATTTTTTGAACGTGTGACATCTTCAGTACATCTTGGAGGCTGATACTTGTTAACCCTCCCGATTTCCTCCCAGGGTCATATTTCTCCCGATTTCTGACAAAATCAGATTTACTCAGGACTGTTTCCACTCGGACTTTAATACAGCTACACCATTGTTTGGTTTCCATGGTAACACGTCTCTTTAGTAGCGCGCGCAACTGAAAGTCTGACAGGGTGAGGCAGATAGTCACAGAAAACAGAACAAGAATCGACAACTACTCTACTCTCTGCTCACTCCTTTCCTGCCCACACATATGCTCCATCAAGGATGGTACTACAGGCTGCACTTAGAACTACAATAAGCATGTTAATGTTAATCTAACAGCTCCGGCGATAAACTAGCACCCCGCCCCCCCCCCATTTTGCATTTTGAAATGCTCCCGATTTCTGAGGTCTGAAGGTTGGCAAGTATGATCAATCATAAGTGTATGCATAGTTCCTGCTCAGAGACTCAAAGCTCCAGGGTCATTTATTACTCAAACCTCCCTGTTATCACTGTTGCGTTTGTACTATACGCCACCCCCTCCTCCCTCTGAGACCCTCTTCCACAACCATCTCTTTGGAATCAAGCCTGAACATCCTTCCCTCTTCAACTCCAGCCATTCTCTGCAACAGGGCGATCTGCTTCTCTCATCAGATTCCCATTACTCCTCTTTTTATAATTGATGCTTTCTTCAATTATGTCTACCTTTGGAAGCATAATCCCAAGAGGCTCGTTGTGGAACAAGGAAAAAAGTCTTGCAACAAATTCTGCAAGACATTCTTTTTATACGATAAATTATTCAACATCTAACCTTACAACAGCTGACACATGGTACTCTTTAAACATAATAACAATGAGGCAATTTCTTTAAAAAATGCTTTATTAAAAATGAGGCAAAACTGATATTATGCAGCACATTTTCTACCACAGATTCTATACGCGTGATAATAATCTTCGTTATCTGACAACCGTTTCTGACCCAACAATAACATGTCTAAATATTAACAAGTATCCTCTACAATGTCAAATCGAATGACTTGAAGTTTGTTACATTTTCTTCTCCATATTCTGAACCTGTAGATGATTTTAAATTGCGTTTTAATCCTGCGGCTTCTTCTTCTTGCTCTCGGGTGAGGTATTGTTGGTTTGGGAGAAGTGCTCGGACATGGCAGCAAGCGCCCGGTAGCGATGAGAGATAGTGTTCTTCACCTCTTTGGGAAGTTCAGCATAGCTGCAAAAGAGAGGGAAGTAGTTACACTAAGGATAGTTGTTATTGTTGGCATGAGAGTGACAAATAATCACTTATGCACAGCATAAAGTGAAAGGGGTCCTCACAACCACGGGCCTTTGACTCCCCCTTGTGGTTTAAAGGGGATATTTCAAGCCGTCTTTGCTCACGTTTTGTCATATCCCTCTGGCTGAAAACAGGGATCCCATCCAAAGTCTTGAGGCCCTCTGGGTTCAACGATGTGTCCCTTGAAATAACAAGATAAAAAAATAGTGAATATTAACTAATAATGATAAAAACACATAAGAGAACATTGAGGCCGTTTTAGAGAGCCTTTTACCTCTGTTATCCCTCTGAAGAGCTGTACTGGTTCATCTTTCCCAGCAGAGAAAGCAAAAGTACAGAGAGCCCATGCTGATTTATCTTCAAATCCAGCTAGGAGTTTGTACAAGCCTACAACAAAAACAATTACAAGATTGGAGATAATAATAATAAAGCTTTATTTATATAGCACTTTTCATACAACACATGCAAAGTGCTTTACAAAATGACACATCACAAGTTAAAAACAAACAACACGAAATGACCCTCAGATTATTTTACAACTTTAAAAAAGGTACATGCAGCAACATTTAACATTTGATCAGGTTAATAGACACAAAGATGTAAAATGTATGATAATAAAAATTAAATTAAATAGAATAAATAATGGTGGAGATGCTGTGTTCATCTTTTTTACCCAGCTTTAAATAACTGTTGAATAACGGTTTAAATCAACTAAAATACTTGCCTTCTGGCTTGAGTTTATCCAGGAACCATTTTCTACAACAACAAAAAAACAAGTTTGGGTTTAATTATTACTATTCACTACCACTACTAAAGATACAATGGTTATACAGATATAAAAGTTATTATACGAACATGTAAGGACCAGGCATGCCTCCCAAAGCTTTGAAACATAGACAGGTGTCCTCCACTATGACAGGCCCTTCAACCTGAGGGTGGAAAACAAACAATGCATCACTTTCAATCATAGAAATGTACATACAAAATATTCTCTTGGATCTTGTATGTAGTTACTGTACCTGCCGTGCAGCCTCCTTACACTTATGTATTGAAATCTCATCTGGCTCTCCTTGGTATTCAGGCACTGGATAAAGAAACAGTAAGGTGAGCATTGACTATAGTAAAATATGTGTTCTACCGGTCAGTGTGTCTCTTCTTTAGATACTTACAGTCAATCTTTTTGGACACCAGTTTGTAAGGAAACCTATCTCCAAGTATCTGAATGACCTGATGGACAAAAAGAGTAAAGAGTGAATCTAGCAGGACTGATTTGTTGTCAAATGAAACCAGATAGTTTGGTACTTAATTACAACTCATGTTCACTATCTATATTTAGCTGGCTGACACACTATGGAGCAGCATGAAAAAGCAAATACGTATAAATGTATCCTGCCTGAAAAGGTTAAGACAGTACAGGAAAACCGTGAGCATACAACCTGTATGTGGAGTAACATTTTTGACTCTTACCTCTTCGAGCTTTTTTGCATTTCCAGTCACGAAAACCACAGACCTTCCAGCAGGCACAGCCATGTTGAAACAAACCCGGAGGACTAACAATTCCGGACCGAATGCTTCCGGCTAAGTAACAGCCAATCAACATAGGTCTAGGAGCCACAGCTAATCGCTTGACACGATGTAACTCCGCCTCCTGATACTTCGTCCAATCAGCGAGCGGTACAGCCGTCAATGTTGTCCGGCTTGAAAAGTCAGTGTGCCATGTGGAAAAGTGTCTGTCAAGAACGTCAAGAAGCTTAACCTGAAACGTTTTGATTTTGTTGGAACCACTGCAGCTGACAATGAGTCTTTTACCTCGCACTGCCGAGGAGTTCAGCTCCGCAGAATACTGGGAGAGGTTTTTTAAGAAACGCGGAGAGAAAGCGTTTGAATGGTATGGAGACTACAACAAACTCTGCGGCGTGCTGCATAAATACATCAAAGTGCAAGACAAGGTACGATAGCTTGTTGTCCAGGAAACGCCTAATATACTTTGTTTGTTTAGCCCCCGCTTGAAAAATAGATGTTAAATCTCAAAGGTCTATCCATTCACACATTTAAATAGTCTAGCTCTAACATGTCACTAAAGCATCGTTACAAAGTTTGTGTTGACAATTTGTATGTTATGACCATCACTTCCAGCTAATGTTTACTGTATTAGTGTATAAGTGTAACATTCATCTATTTGATCTTTATTAATAAGGCACTCTCGCTGAGATGAGGAACTCAACAAGAACCATTCAGCAAACTAAAGACAACACACCTACATTACAAAAAGGAATTCAAAACAGATAAAATAATCCTGAAAAGCATTTAAATGCTGTAGATGTTAGAAGTGAAGGCAATTTAATCTACATTATGAACTGTTGGGTAGTTAAATCTATGCATTACATTGTATAATAGAAGTATATTTGAGTATAAAATTGATGTATTTAAGCAATTAACAAGTGCCTCAAAACCTTACTTCCAGTACTTAAGTAAATGTGGTTAATCACTTTTCAACACTCCAAATGATAATTACTGATTTAACAGTGTTTTGTATATCTGTCCTTCAGGTGTTGGTGGTCGGCTGTGGTAACTCTGAGCTGAGTGAACAGATGTATGATGTTGGCTACAAACATCTAACTAATATTGACATCAGTGAGACAGTGGTGAACCATATGAACCAGAGAAATGCTGAGCGCCGGCCGGGCCTGACCTTCCAGCAGATGGATGCCACACAAACTCCTTATGAGGAGGCCAGCTATCAGGCTGCTCTGGACAAGGGCACACTGGATGCCATGGCATCAGAAGAAGAAGGGGCACTGGCCAGGAACATGCTCACTGAGGTAAGAAACCAATGGCTCAGGCTGTGAACAGACGATTCATTATTTGCTCAGTTGGTACTATCCTCAACATCGTCTTTGCATTTGCGTCAAACCAGTGTTCTTGTGTCTGCAGGTGGCTCGTGTGTTGAGTTTTGGCGGCCGGTATGTCTGTGTGACATTGGCTCAGGAGAGTGTCATCAAGTTAGCTGTAGATCGTTTTGTGCAGCTGGGGTGGGCTGTGAGGCTTCACTGCCTGCAGGAGGAGAACCGGAGCGTAGAGGACTCCTTTGCTCTGCCTGTCTTTGTTCTGGTCTGCACCAAGTTTCGTCAGCCTATGCCCATGCCTATTCTGGAGATGTGTCTTGGGGAGGATGGAGCCCCTACTCGTCTCACACAGGTTTCAGATTTGTTGTCCGCTGTGAGGGAGCATCAGGCTTACTCAGTCTTGAAAAAGAGGCTCCGTACAAGCACAGACGCCAGCTCGAACCTCTCACTTACTCTCTCCCACACCAAGACTGGCCTCCCCAGATACACTCTCACAGTACAAGATTGTCCTCCAGGTGCCAAGGTGCCAAGATCAAACCAGTTTGCTATTTTTATTGGTGAGCTCTCCTGTTATTTGATCATGTTTCTGCCTCCCTATGTAGGTAACAGTGAATGTGTTTTGTTCGTACTTTGATGATTTTTTTTCTGCTCATCCTGTCAGTGCCTCAAGGCAGTGAGACAGCTTGGCTCTACAGCTCCAGTGAGGGGCGAAGGCAGCTAGCAGCCAGTGCTAACTTTCGCCGTCTGGTTATTGTGGCAATGCACAGGAATCAGGAGTACACAGACATGCAGGATGTCCAGTCAGAACTGTCACCAATGGTGATGGACCTGGCTCCCCCAGGTATGCCAGCCAACCAGCAGGTAAACTCTTAACATATTTATTTTAGAAATATTCTTCTCCTTTATGAAACATTTTATGCTGCAATAATGTATCAGTAAATACAGTTGAGATATCGTCCTCTTTTAGGTGCCGTTTTTGTCTGTTGGAGGAGACCTGGGTTGGCGAGAGGAGGTTAGCAGGGGTGTGAGTGAGCTGAGCGGGGAGTACTGTGTGGAGAATGTCAAGGGAGAAGACGGAGAACTCTATCGGAGACTGGTTTTCTTGTCCAATGCTGCCCTTGTCCAATCAGAGAGCCGCCTTGTCCCTTCAAATACTGGTCAGTTATCTTTCCCCGATTGCTGCATTTTATTATGCTCTCTTTTTCTAATAAACTATTTGATTACTAAATAAGCAAAACGAAAAAAAATTAAATGGTTTTGTAAACATTATATAAAACTCATTTGAATATATTGCTGTAAGACAGATGTACATTGATTGTATGAATGAATGTTTAAGTCTCTGCAGCATCAGGTCAAAAGAAGAAAAGCAAAAAGAAGGCCAAGCCAACAACTGCTCCATCAACATCCTCCACCTCTCTGTCAGTGGACAGTGGCTTCCTCTGCTGCGCTCACCATGAAGTTATGGTGGCTGGCCTCACCATGCTTGGGGTTGGCACGCCACAAAACAAAGGTCAGTTCAGATGTAGTCTTGTCGAGGTCATAGAGGGCAATAGCAGGAGGAAGTACTAACTATACAGCATAACTGTTCCAGCCTTGCATGAAGTATCACACTTGATCAAGCTTTGTCTTTGACTTTGTCCTCTCCACTATCTTCTCCCTTAGATGTCCCAGTGTCAGTGCTCCTGGTGGGGCTCGGTGGAGGAGGCCTCCCTCAGTTTCTGCGGGACTTTGTGCCAAATGTAACTGTTGAGGTTGTAGAACTGGACCCTGTTGTGATGCAAGTGGCAAATGAATGGTTTGGGTTCCGACCAGATGATCGCTTGACTGTCACTCTCGGGGACGGCCTCAAACACATCTGTGCCCTGGAGAAAGAAGGTTAGTGAGGGAGGAGTCAGATATGGGGCAGTTAAAAACAAGGCTATAGGCTACACTAGTTAATATATTACCAAGAAGTGATGAGGTTTTTTCTTCCTTTGTAGGTGGTCGTTTGTTTGATGTCATCATGTTCGATGTAGACAATAAGGATAGCACTGTGGGTATGAGCTGTCCTCCTGCTGCCTTTGTAGAGACCTCGATCCTGCAGAAAGTCCGCAGCCTGCTAACCCCCAGAGGTAAAATATTTGTATCAGTTGATTTACCTCAATCGTCTGGAATGTGGCATGTTTACGCTTGCATAAGTTTAGACCGTTGTGGATTTTCTTCTCCATGTAATCTTCTCTCCTATCTGCCTCTCTCTGCCATTCAACCAGGTATATTCACATTGAACCTTGTGTGTCGTGACTCAGTATTGAGGAAAAGCGTGTTGGAGCGTGTAAGTGCCGTGTTTCCCACCATCATTTCCCGAAAGATTGAAGGGGAGGTCAACGAGGTTCTTCTGTGCTCTCATGGAGAAAATGGGACATCGAAAGCTGCCACCATCCTACCATCCCTGAACCAAGCAGGCAAAAGTCTGCAGAGCGCACTGTACTCCAACAGGACTGGACCCAACAGCAGCCCACACATAGACATTGCAGAGTTGTTAAAAGACCTGAAAATAGAGTAAAGCTTGCTTGAGACCAAAGTGTGATGGGATTTAAGACAATCTGAGACAATATTGTGAAGATAATATTACAATAAGTGCTTTGACTTTGCCATTTAGTTCAATGAAATGTATTATAATGTTCATCAAAAACAAGTAAATAACATTTTATCTTAACATCTAAATGTGGTGCTTCTTCTGTTTCTCTTTCACTTGCATATGGACTACAGTGTACTACACAGTGCTCATTCCCTCATTGCCAAAGAATGCAGCAGTGTTATTTACAGTAGATGAATCTTACTCTCTGGTTCCAGTTGCAGTGATCACCCACACCCTGGATGCGTGGGATTTAAAATAGCTGTATGAATTCTTACTAAGCGTCTGATATAGGTCACTACTCTCAATTGGCAATGAAGCTCCCTCTTCTGAAGGAGGGGATTGCCGTGTTGAAGTTTCTTTTCACCGCGCATGCGCATATCATTTGATCCCCTTAGCTGTCAGTAGAAATGTTTTCCTCATGTCCATGGACCAAACTCGGTTTAGCGACCTGCGGCTAGCCACTTAAATGTATCCTCCATTTAAGGGAAACAACTCACCACTAACTTTTGGAGTTTTAACCCAACAAAAATGTCTATAGCGAACTGTTTCCGGAGGATTGGACACAAACTTGGACACTACTGTCGTTACCAGACGCACCCACGGTAACGTACTATCAACAGCTAAAGTTACGGAGCTTTCAAAAGTTGGCACCGTCCTTTAAGTAGAGTTTTATTTTTAGTCGTTGTACTTATCTGTATTAAAAATAACTATGGTCGCTACTTCAACGACGGGGGTAGCATAGAAAAGGGGTGAAACAGGAAGGAGCCGCTGGGCTGCTCGGTTGCGATGGGCAACCGCGGGATGGAGGATCTGATCCCGCTGGTCAACCGCCTCCAGCACGCGCTGGGCTCCGCAGGGCAGAGCTGCAGCCTCCACCTGCCGCAGATCGCTGTGGTGGGCGGCCAGAGCGCGGGCAAGAGCTCCGTCCTGGAGAACTTTGTGGGCAGGTAAGACACACCATGAACTCGGAATGACCTGTGCGGCAAGGGGAATCCTCAACATAAACAACGCTTTTAAATGGATGAGCATTAGGTGACAAGAAAGTTGCCGATTTCTTATATAGCACAATTTAACCGAGGTGTTTGGCCTATTATAAATCGATAGTTATGTCTTTATTTATAGTTCATTTAAAGATGCTTTAAAGATTGATTGCTTGGCCCTCTGAACTGCTACAGAGAAGCAAGTGGGCAGGATGTAGGGCATTTTTATCTTGTAAAAAAACTGGACTTGCTGGAAGAGTACCATTTAAAAACAAATAAAACAACTTTTAGTATTCCAAAAATGTGAATCATCATTCACTCTGACTGGTTATTTTCCTTGACCAAAATCAACAACAAGAAACGTAGATAACTTCATATAAGTTCAAATGTATAACTGCATTACTGCTATCATTATTAGTTGTTGTAAAACAATTCAAATAATGTATTCCAATTAATTAACTAAACAGTGACAAAGCTATTAGTTAACATTATGTATCCCTTCCTTTATTCATAAAATTACAAGAATGTTAATGTGAATGCTATTTAAAAGTGTAACCATATAATTCATTATGTCATTTTTACTAGTCTTAAAAATGTATCACTATCACATATATATTATATGTGAACATGTGATTTCTATCTTGATAGTTCAGGTTAAAACCTCATCAAAATCTGAATTGGAAATATACTGCAATCTTCATGTAATATAAAAAGTAAATCCATGGCAACTGTTTTTTAGGAGCTGGGACTCGCTTTATACACAACGATTGTGTGTCACACTGAACTGAAACCAGGACTTCAGGCAATTACTGCTACCATTCACAATGCACTGCTGAAATCACTGTGTTCATATATGTCACATTCCCCACCCAGCAGTAGTGATATGGTGTGAATTGCCTGTGTGAAGTAGTTGATGCCAGTATGCCTGACAGTAACCAGTGCAGCGCCTTATCTCACTCGTGGGCTGTGTAGGTGTCGATGATGGTTTTAACATGACTCCTGGAAAAGTAATGGAATCAGAAATATTTTAATTAACCAAAAAGTATTTTAGTCAACCAATGATAAGCTGAATAACTGAGCTTTGTTGAATTTTCATCTTATTCTGACCTTAAACAAACCTCAAACCTTAACAAATAAAGACTACACATGAATGGCAGTGTTGCTTTGTAAAGTTTAAATCCTAGTGAGACAATTTGATTTGAAAGGAGGAGACTAAGTATTTCCATCCTGTAGGAAAAGAATGCTGGTGAGTAACTGAGTAGTTTCCGGCTTTCAAGACAGTGGAGCTCTGTCTTCTAAAGGAGATGTATATATTGTCCACAGCAGAAGAATATGTGCCATTGCCAGATATAGAAGGCTATTATTGCTTGCTATCCAGAGTGTGTATTGATATTTAAACACACAGTTTTGTTATTTTCCTTAGCTATGATTATGTTATGAGTATGACACCCATTTTGTCTGGGACTGTGCCAGCTGTTTTATGTGTGACAGGATGCAGTAAAAGAAACTTCCTGAACCTGAATAGGAAAGAGGAGGATATGCCTGAGGAGTGTATTCCTGTGCATTCTGTTTCTTTAAAAGCAACACTTTATTTAGCTTTGAGTCTTTCTATATCTGATGGGGCAGATCATATGACAAATATTTTCTTAGCCTTCCTGGTCATGTTGCTGATGTTCTAGATAGTATGGCAACGTAAACACAAATACTTTACTGCTACTGTTGGTGCCCACAATGCTTTGTTCCGCCTATTAGCAGCTTACACATACTTTTAGGGTAATAGTCTTACCTGTGTATGCACCATATTTAAGGTAATTGTGGATAGTGTCTGTCAAGCTAGTGTTCAGACTAATCTTGATGCAAGATTTATTTGACAGTTAATGTGTCAGTGTGTGTCTGTGTGTATCCAATTCGCTCCAATCTCTTTTATTCTCACAGAGACTTCCTTCCACGGGGTTCAGGAATGGTCACACGCAGACCTTTAATCCTCCAGCTGCTTACCGCTGACACTGGTAGGTAAGACACACATCACAGTCATTACTGCCATTCTTGAGCTGCCTGCCACCAGATGGCAGTATGACATTTTAAAATGGCTCAGCCCGACTGGTGGGACAGTGCTTGAATTGTCATCTTGTGATCTAATATGGTTTCACATGATCATATCCTGTATCATTTGGCCCTCTTGCAATCTCATATGGCTTTTAGGACAAGGACTTTATGAAATAGCATTGAAGTTTCCTGCTGTATTGTACTAGGCTTTTGTCGTCTGACTCAAAAACGTTTTCTTTTGGACTGGACAGGCTTCATTTTCCAAAAGATCTTCCAACATTATGATTATGATTACTCTATGATTCTACCATTGTTTAACTGATCATTTCCCCCCTGCTCATTCTTTATTTTTCCAGAGCACGGTGAATTTTTACATTGTAAGGGAAAGAAGTTCACAGACTTTGAAGAGATTTGCAGAGAGATTGAGGCAGAGACACAAAGAATCACAGGATCAAATAAAGGCATCTCTCCTGTCCCCATCAACCTACGGATTTATTCACCAAACGGTAACACAATGTGAACTTGTGTGTTCAACTAGAAATATCCTTTTCAGTTTATCTAACTGAGATATGAATGACTTGTGTTTATTTGTACCATTGTGTGTGTCTGCAGTGCTGAACCTGACTCTTGTAGACCTGCCTGGCATCACCAAGGTGCCTGTAGGCGACCAGCCGGCAGACATAGAGTACCAGATACGAGACATGATCATGCAGTACATCTGTAAGGACAACTGTCTCATCCTGGCTGTCACGCCTGCCAACACTGACCTGGCCAACTCTGATGCACTCAAACTGGCCAAAGATGTTGACCCACAGGGTAAGTCAGGCTTGTAGAGTATGTGGGGTTTTATTATGGCCTGAGAATAAGGCTCGTCCCGCTCATGTCTTCACAGGAATTCATTATCAGATTATTACAATGGTAATGTTTATGTCTAAAAGTTGTCATTTTTCTTTTATACTTGATATGATTTTACATTTGGAGCCCATGACATGTCCTTATATTCTTCATCTTCTTTTTAGGCCAGCGCACGATTGGTGTAATCACTAAGCTAGACCTGATGGATAAAGGAACAGATGCCCGGAACATTCTAGAGAACAGGTTGCTTCCCCTACGCAGAGGTGTGCTGCTTGTGTTTGTGGGCATGTGTGTGTGTGTGCTCGCCATCTTGCTATAATACAGTGCACCCAGTAGTGGCTCTTTTGAGAGGAATGACTTTATGATTATGTGTTATCGTCAACCAAGGTCAGTCAAGCTCTTATTCTCTCTTTTCAACTTTGGTTACCATACTGCTGTTAAGCATATGTATTCTCTCTATAGCCAGTGCCATGCATTGAAAGATGGCCATGCACTTTGTATGACTTCTCAGTAATGCCATTGAGTATGTGATGCACATTTGTTCTTGTCTGTAACAGACAGATAGACATAGATCATATTAAAGGCTTGTAAAAATGGAGAGAGAGAGAGAGAGAGAGAGAGAGAGAGAGAGAGAGAGAGAGAGAGAGAGAGAGAGAGAGAGAGAGAGAGAGAGAAAAAAAAAAATATGCAGGGCATGCAGACTGGGTAAAGCCTCACCAGGTGCTAGCTCCTTCATGCTTCTCCTCCAGTGCTAATGCATTAGCCATGGAGGCCCATTGAAATAACTGCCCTAGTATCAGCATAGAGCTAAAGTATTAGATATGGAGCCTGGTGCTATTACATCTATTACTGCACTAAACAGGGATGTTTGGCCTGCTCTATAACACATGCTGTGCTGTTTAACACACATATTAATATCCTGCTTATGTGATAGTCCCACTGGAACAAATGGCAGTATGGGAAAAAAATTCAAGGACATGTTAAATGAAAGTTGAATCTGTCTAACAACAGAGACCTTGATTGTTCCTTCCTCTTGTTGCTCATTGTCTCGCTTACAATGATCACATGCTCTTCATTTCCCCTCTCATCTCTTCCTCCCAAGGTTACATAGGGGTGGTGAACCGCAGTCAGAAGGACGTTGTTGGGAAAAAGGATATTAAAGCAGCCCTGCTTGCAGAGAAGGATTTCTTCTTGTCCCATCCGTCCTACAAACACATGGCTGAAAGCATGGGCACCCCATATTTACAAAAAACACTTAACCAGGTTCAAAATGCACACACACATAGAGAAATGATATATTATGTGTGTATGAATTGTTAGTAATAATGTTTATTTGCAGCAACTGACAAACCACATCAGGGAAAGTCTGCCAGCCTTCCGCAGTCACCTACAGAGCCAGCTTCTGAGCCTGAACAAAGAGGCTGAAGAGTTCAAACAGTTTAGTCCTGATGACCCTGCTCGGAGGACCAAGACACTGCTACAGTCAGTCAGTCTAACGTTTTTGAAGTGTGTGTGTGTTTGTTGTCTTTTAAACTATTTATGTCAGTGTTTCTCCTGGTTTATGTGTTTCTGTCTTCCAGGTTAGCTCAGCGCTTGGCTGTTGACTTTGAGAAGCTCATCGAGGGCTCAGGGGACACAGTGGACACTGTCAATCTGTCAGGAGGAGCTAAGATCAACCGAATCTTCCACGAGCGCTTTCCCTATGAGCTGGTCCAGGTGTGTGGGCGGCGTGTATTACTTATGTTGTAGGGACATACATCTGTAGTGACTTTGTGCTTTTCTTTCGTGACAAAATGCATGTCAATATAATGTAAGTCATTACATTTTAGAATAAGGACTTGTTTTAAGGTTTGAGTGGAGTAAGTATTAAGCAAGTTACAATAATGGTTAGCGTTAGTCTTCAGTAAAGTTAAATCAAATTAGAATCCATGAAATCTGTACGTGCATCAATACCCTTTGAGCTTAACTGTGTTCAGCTTTGGCTGACAGTGTACTCTGTGTCGTCTTCAGATTGAGTCAGATGAGAAGAAGCTGCGGCAAGAGATCAACTATGCCATCAGAAATATCCACGGTGTCAGGTGTGATATAGAGAACTGAACAAATGCTAATTTATAAGTAATTATTTTTGTATCTACCTTTATTTATTTTTTCTTCCTTTCCTCCATCTTCCTCTCTCTGCCTACAGGACAGGTCTGTTCACTCCTGACATGGCCTTTGAAGCAATAGTGAAGAAACAGTTATCATGTTTAAAGAAGCCCTGCATTACATTTGTTGACATGGTCAGTCAAGAACTAATCTCCACTCTGTACCAGTGCATCAACAAGGTACACATGTGTATGTGTGTCGTGTAACTGTGTGATGTAGTGTGTGTTTGAATGTGTCAGAACTTGCTTAAACTTCTGGTCTGATTTCCCTCTGTAGCTCAGTTCTTTTCCCAAACTGCAAGAAGAAACGGAGAGACTTGTTACCACTGAAATACGAGAGCAAGAGAGTAAATGCAAAGAGCAGGTTGTTCACACATATTGGAATTACAACTTATTTTCAGATAACTTTATTGGATACATCATGTTTTTCTAATGAATGTACATCTATTCTGTTCAGGTATTGATGTTAATTGAAATACAACTTGCCTATATAAATACCAAACATGAAGATTTCATTGGCTTTACCACGTAAGCATCCTCTTCAGTTTTGAAATAAAAAAAATATACTATATATTATAGCATGTTAAAGAGTGAATAATATGACCTCGTCCTCTCCTTTAGAGCCCAGCAGACGAACAACCAAGCCAACAAGAAGACTAATGCAGGGACGGCAGCAAACCATGTAAGTCTTTCAGTAGTACTGAATTCATTCATCCATATCTATCTATCTATCTATCTATCTATCTATCTATCTATCTATCTATCTATCTATCTATCTATCTATCTATCTATCTATCTATCTATCTATCTCTCTCTCTCTCTCTCTACAGTATCTATCTACTGTATCTATCTATCTATCTATCTATCTATCTATCTATCTATCTATCTATCTATCTATGATTAGCAAAACATATATATTTTTACAGTATTTTAAACCATTCTTACCCAACTGGCAGTTATATGGTGATGGCAACAGATAGACTCAGTAAGCCAGGCCAATAGTCCATAGCTTTTGTCAGAGTGAAAGATCTCCTCCACTGTTAAATACATCGGCTTTGAATTGAGTAAAAACACACATGATCCCAGGAGGATGATTCAGAATTTCTGATCTACAGTAGTGTCACCAGAAGGTTAGGAAAAGTCTGTCTATAAGCTTTTAGTCTTGTTTTACTCAGTGTTATCCAGAATCTTAGTCAAATAAATAAACACAATCTGTGCATGACAGTTTACTCCAATTCAATGATAATACATTCAGGTTCAAACACTCATATTGAACATCTACTAGCAACGGTTCACTGCCGTGCAACATTAGAATTTGCATGGTTATGAACTGAATTTGTATCATCCATCTTACATTTAGCTTTATTTTCAGTAATGTCCCCCTCCAATGTGTTACGCATTAGTCTGCATTAATTAGAATTCCAAGCAGCAGATCAGTTAGATATTTTGTGATTTTTACAAGAGGGGATTAAGGGTCCAATCACAGTAGGAATGCAGGAAAGCGAAAATGAGGCAGGATTTTGGTCTCAATCTGTTATGACTCATTTGTAACAGAATACTCGTGTGACACATTTTAAAGCAGGAATAATTAAAAACACTTTCCCACTATTATTGTGCTTTGGGCTGGATCCTTAATTTGAGATTATAAGATTTGTGAACAGCAGTAAATGTTAATCGCAGCATAAGAAATCTTGTCAGCTATTTACATAACTTCTCATGTTGCTTTCATCGTTGCAAAATCAGTATCAGTGTCATCCTCGAAAAAACGCAATATCCCCTTAATATAGTAAAAACATTAACTCTTGATTTTGCTCCCTCATCTCCTTGTTTCTCCAGGGTGTGGCCGCTCCTTCAAGACTAATAGTAGGAGTCCAATCTCTTTAAGCCTCCTCACTCACTGCTGCCTCTACTGGAAATATTTGTGTGCAGGATTCTATCTTAGAGTATTCTGGGTTGGCATGCAACTTATAGCAAACATGCACATGGCTTATTGCAGCTTTCTTTATTACGTATGTCATCCCCTGCAGCTGATGCACTGCTAACCTTTCAAACTATTTTCCTCTTACAGTTACAGTTAGCAGTGTTTCTTCTCTGTCAAAACCTAATCATCTTCACTTGTTGCAGTTCCTCTGCTCCATAAATATGTGCAGATGTTAATATCCTCATAATCTGCAGAGTGTCAGTTTCATTTCTTGATATCTTTATGTTATCTCATACTTCCTGTTCTCTTATTCATCACATATCTTTCTTCCAGTCCCTCGCATCCTGTTTCTCCAAATGTGTTTTGTTACTTGTGTTTCTATGCTTACTTTGTATTTCTTTGTGTGCGTCCACTTTCTCTTTGACCACTTATCTGCACTGGTGGTCAGTGGAATGGTAATAGGTCATGGCTGCATTATCAGTCATATATCTCACAAATGTCGTGCAAAAATCTTCTTTGTCCTTCAGTGGCAAATATTTACTTTCTTCAGTGTCAACTATTTACTGTGACCTGCTTTGCACCATCATAGTAGTTGTTACTTGCTATCTTTTTTCCCCATAAAACTGTCCTTTGAATGCTATTGTGGTGTTCCTGTCAGTTCTGCCATCTGATCTCCTTATCCTTGGCTGTTATGCAGGTCATACGCAAGGGCTGGCTGACCATCAGCAACCTCGGCATCATGAAAGGTGGAGCCAGAGAGTACTGGTTCATCCTCAGCGCAGAGAGCCTGTCCTGGTTCAAGGATGATGAGGTGAGGCACTCACACGTGAACAAATATCACACCAAGACAACACAACAGTACACTATTTAATCAACACATGTTTATTAACACATATCTCAGCTTGAAACAGAATATCAATTTGGAGGATGAGAGATAATTAAACACAAGGGGAATCTCTCACAGTTTTGGTCAACCCTCTGCCGTTTTGTTGACTTTAATTGATGATGTTATGGCCCTCTGTTGTCATGTCAGGTGGGCTGCCATCTGTCTGCCTGTCTGTGCCTGCTGTACAGGAGCAGAAGGTCTGCACAGCAAGTGTAGACAGGCAGACACATCACAACAGACTCATCCTGTCACTGTTGATGTCATGGGAAGAAGGAAGGGCAGAGGGCAGGAAGTGAGATCAAAAGAGGGGAACAGCATTTGTAAATGGATATAAACAAGAACCACATCTGGATGCAAATGCTGTAGACGTTGTTGTTGTTGTTGTTGTTTGTTGTGGATTCATTTGAGTTGTGTTTCGGTTGACAGACATAATCGAGTGGTTGAAAGAATAAGTTGGTGTGCGTACTAAAATGCAGCGAGGCCTCTATCTTGGTTCAATCTAAACAGACAAACCCTCTCTTTCTAAATTCTTTGTGACATCAAAAAAGCAAACTAAAAGAGCATCTGTAACTCTGTTTGCTTTCCAGCTAACTGTTTGCTCTGCTCTTTCTCCTGCCACCTGGACCTGCTAGTGAGCCCCTCCGTTTCCCCCATTCATTCCTCTGACACCCCCCCCCCNGTGTCAACGCGCAACCCTCCTCCACCCCTTCGCCTCCTGCTTCCAACTCAGGGCCAAGCTCAACCTTCTCCCTTCCAACCGGACCTAACCACTTATCACCACCAGGTGATAAGTGGTTAGGTCCGGTTGGAAGGGAGAAGGTTGAGCTTGGCCCTGAGTTGGAAGCAGGAGGCGAAGGGGTGGAGGAGGGTTGCGCGTTGACACCTGGAAGACAGCTGATGGAAAAGGGGAGAGCATATATAGAGGGATTAACAGGTGCGATGATTAGGCTTGTGAATGGAGGGAAGTGATAGCTTAGCTGAGGAGTGGCGCTCCCTATCATTTAGTGAAGGGAGTGAGTATTGCCATGACGCGCAATACAAAGTGATAGGTCTTCCTGCCTGAACTTGCGCTGAGCTTCATTAAATCAAGGGGGCAATTAAAAGCACCCTGCAAACTATTATCCAATGATTATATTTCCAGCACTTAAACACTTTCAATAACAGCCCATACCGCCGTTCAAGTCCCCCTATCATGATGAATGAAAACAATCTGCGTGTTGATGGAATGTACTTTCTTTCTTCCTCATCTTTTGATGGCGCAATTATTTTTATGTGCGTCACGTCAATAGCACCGACCACACCGGGCATACCTGCAATTGCCATGAAGTTGGCTTTGATCCTGTGTAGTTGTTGATTGTCCAAAGGAAACCGGATAAACTGTTGGATGATATGTGGTCTAGAGAGCGCGTTGATGGTTTGGTTTATGGCACGGCTGACTGATGGTTGCGATATTCCTAAATCGTCGGCATTGCAAAGTTGCATTTTCCCTGTTGCTAAATATCGTAGTGTTGCCAAACATTTTATTTCCGGACTAATCGGGTTATTCCTGTTAGTCGGGGATGTTATTGCATCCCGCACTAATTCCACAACAAGTTTGATACCCTCACGATTTAGCCTATATCTCTTGATCAATTCACAGTCTTCCATTGTCTCCAAAACATTTCGTCTCGCAGCCATTTTCAGATTCTTTGTGAATAGGTCTTACTGAGTTAGGAGTCCTCTCGAGGACTTTTAAGCTCTCCTAAACTTAGGTGCTACTTTTAGGCCTAAAATACTTAGTGAATTGCTCTTAGTGAATAAAATTAGGAGTCCTAAATTTAAGACTGACACGCCCATTATGTTTAGGAGTTTCTCCTAAATTCGCCAGTTAGGAGCTACTTTTAGCCCTAAGATCCTTTGTGAATACGGCCCCTGGTCTTTTGACATGAATGTACTTTGGTGGAGATTGGTTGGAGTTTCCTTAGAGCTCAAATTGCAACAGAAAAGAAGGGAGATGGGCGTTTAAATGCAGTTTGAAGGGGAAAACTTTACAGTCGTTGTGAAATGTCAAAAGTCAAGTAAACAGACTTGCCCGCAACTGTAAGGATGTATTAAGTAGTATGACATCAGTTGGTAATAACTGTAGGTGGGTGATTTTTAATATAATGACCCAGGAAATGAGAACATAGTATATTTGAAAAGTCTCCTTAATTTGTCGTATTAAGAGGATATTGAGCACGGGAACATAGAACTCTGAGATGTCGGTTTCATTTTCAGTAATAGATCCTTTTTAAGGAGTCATGATTAGACTTTAACAGGAATACATGAATAGTATAAACAGCTAAGAATAGCTTCACTTAATTGAACGCTTTTTTTCTGAAAGGAGAGAAATTGCAATCCATAATAAATTGATTTGATCAACGATAATCTATAATCCTCATCACATGGTCATCATGAGGTCATTTTCTCAGTTTTATTCCAATCAGTTTGGTCCAATCTTGACATAACACTGTCAGTTGTCTATTTTATAAATAACAGCTTTGACATCATTTAATTCAGTTTTTTGTGGATTGCACTTTAAACCTCCTCTCTTGACAATGGCTTCCTTCTGCAACCCTAACATGTTAGAGTTGGCTTCTCTTCTTTCTCTTTCTGTGTCTCTTCACGCTGTCACTGCTTCAGAGCGTGCCGTGTCTCCTGCTTCTCTTCACCTCTGTTTACTGGAAAGTTCCTCTCCTCTCCTGGCTTCTGAGGCCTTTTTTCCAAATTGCAGTGCCAGAAAGGACGCTGCTGTGAAAGCCACAGTGTCATACTGAACTGGATTCAATGGTACAACTTCTGTTGTTGTGTTGAGAGAGTTGGTGTGTATGTGTAAGACTGCTGTGATTTCCCCCCTCCGGTCGTAGCAGAAGGGTCGTCTGCACATGTTGTTTAGTTCAGTGTTGCCAAAGCACTTTAATGAGGCCCTGTTGTGTTTAGCTGCAGTGTAACAAACGGTGTTAGGAACGAGAATCACCCAAACCCTGACTCCAGGGGGTTTCATTGGAAGAACAGCATGTTTTCCAAATCCGTTTTTTAAAGTCTTTCACCCAAAGGTGCAAATTGCAATGACCACATTTCCGAGACTTTAAACCGGCTCCCACCAGAAATATAACCAATGAATAAATCTTAACAGGTCATCTTAATATTTGTATTTCTTTGCTTACTCAAAATGCGTATGAGAGGAGAGGAATATAATGTCAAAGACAGCTGGCATAATGAATGAACCACCTTCTTTGTCCTAAAAATAAAACCAATGTAATCCGCTCTGTGACTCACAATGATGTCAGACTGTTTACCACAAAGTTTTGGTACTAGAAATGTCCTCAGATTGCTCAACCATGACCAGTCTCATTGATGGATTCATTACCGAGCATGTTTAGATAGAGGTTACTAACTCTGTTCGTGCACTTGATGTTTTGCAACGTCAACGACTGTGCATGTATTGACCTTCTTCTCTTCCGATCCTACAGAGGGAGCCAGACCAGGAGGAGCAGCCTGAAGACAACATGCCCCCCAAGTTTAAACGACACCTCAACGATGACGAGGTCACCGGATCGATTCGCAGCGAGAGGGTAAGATGTCGATGGAGGAAGTGGCGGTGTTTGGGTTGTGGCCTATCACCAGGAGGAAGCGATCATAACACAAAATGGGATGGAAAAAAAAAAGTGTACAAGGTTTAGAAATGGATAGACCTTTTTAGAAATGTCCAATAAAGTAAAAACACAGGTGTTGATTTGAGATGCAGATTCTGCTGTTAGGAGTAGTCGAAAAACTACAGGGAACGCACACAAGACATTGGACCTTTTTGAAGGAGGTAAAGTGAACAAGTCTTCGAGCCAAATATCTGGTTCTCATCGAAATGAGCTTCCCCACCCAATTCCACCTTCCTGTCCTCCCACTGATTTTATACTTCACTCAGTCCTCTGTTTCTAAGTCCAATGCTTTTTGCTATTGTGCGAACTGGGATCAAAAACAGGGCTTACGACGGGGAGGTTTTCATTATCCATGCTAATAACTTCCAGTCCTGCCTCATGTCTCTCATCCTAGATAGTGGAAGGAAAGTAAAAAAAAGATGTTGAACAGAAGGAGAGTGTTAGTGCCTTCACTTATAACGTTTTTTTATAATCATATGGTCAGCTGTTTTGCAGATGACACTGTATTTACAAGAAAGTAAAATATCTATATTGCTCTGGCATTTCTTGCAGCTGTCAGCATTACTGGACAGCTATGGATTTTTCTTTTTGTAGTCGCAGGATGCCATTATAAGGTGATGACCATGACCACTTCTGGATACTGTTATTCAAATGTCATTAATTATTGCTTCTAAACTCATGGAACACTACATTGTAAGGAAGCATGTATGCCTCTAATTGTTCCTGTAGCAATGAACCTCCTGTGTGCCATCCAATGAGAAACAGTCCCTTACTTTCTGCTAGTCCGATTCTCCTCCTGTGAGAATTGAATGCAGCTGGCTTAACTAATTCTCTATGAATAGCCCTTTACAAAGGGCGCTTCCTGCATCTATTGAAGCCATCAGTGGTAAAGACATGGTTGTGATCCTGGTAAAGTTTTTCTTCAAACTTCTTGGATAGCAGAAACCTCTTTCTATATTTTATTGGAATATGTCCCGATGCATTTTGCTTGGATTCAAACCAACGGGTTTTCCTTGCCAGAACTAGATGTAGACATGTTTTAAGAGGAAGAGTTTTTACGGAGTCTGGCAAGCAGAATAACAGAGCAACAACAGTCGTTTCTTTTTGCACAAGTCATCATAATGTAAGTGCACTTGAATAGCATACAGTCTGGGAATATCTGCTCTCCGACGACAGACCAGAAAAAGCTACCTATCAGCTATGTTGCCCCTGGAGGTGAATTTCATTTCTCTGTATCAGCACCATCATTTGTTAGTGCCAAGAATGTACTCTGGTGAGGCCTTTCAGCTGCTGAGGTGCTGGGACTGGATCTTGTTCCTGAACCAAATCTGAGATCATTCAAATCACAATCATTCAGTTTCCACAACTTACTCTTATCTGACCTTTTCCACTTTACAGAGGAACCTACTTGAAGAGGACTCTGATGAGGAGGAAGACTTCTTTCTGTGAGTTTTATATTCCATTCAATCACTGAGATTATTATAAATAAATCAATGATATATATATACAAAGTACAATTGACCTCGATGATGACAGCAGTAATACTAACACAGAGTATACAAAATCAACAGTAAAATAGGTTGTTTTAGTAGAACAATTATAAATTGGTAATCCTTGGCTTCACTGAAACTTGTTTTCCAGGAGAGGACCCACGGCACCCAGATTTGGACCTCAGAATGACAAGTTCAAGCAGTAAGTATTAACACATTGCTCATAAGAACCGAAAGCCTGAGGTCAGAGTAGTACGGCCAACGATCTTGAGTTGTGGTGTTGGTGTTATGCAACTGTGGCCCGTCATGTTTACCAGGAGCTGCGGTTTATAGTGGATTGAGTGAGAGAGGCCGCTATGTTATTGTGTAACCTTCCCAAGACTCCCCAGTCCCTCTGCAGTCTGTTTCCACATTCACCTCCACAGGCCAGAGAACAAACATGGTCATTGTTAAGACTCCCTGGCACCCGGAGCATTTCTCCACGCTCTGTTTCTCCTTGACGGTTTGTCATTTTCTTGTGAGTACCTGAAACTAGATGCCATCATTACAGACTGCAGGAATGTTATTTGCACATTACCCAGGCTCTTCACCTCTGCGTCTGTCTGGACCCCCGAGGTCAGGTCAGGTCCCTGCAGTAGTTTCATGTGTGTTTGAGGCAGTCCAGATCTCTTTCTGGCTATGGTTTTTTTATATTTAATATTACCGGTTTCGACCGGCGACCAAGTCGAAGTCCAAGACTGATACATTCCTGCAGTTCCTTGTCTGAGACGATCAGTGTTATGGTGCTGGAAAGTGTGATCAGTTGTTTAAAATACAAAGTCCTTTGTCTTGCATCTCCTTTTACACTTCTTTGAAAATGTGGCCCCTCCCACTGATTCTGAATTCCTCCTAGATGTATTGCTTTGAAATAATAGCGACTGAGGGGAAATCAGATACTAAAACAGGTGCAGGCAGGTCAGCGTGAGGCCAAACAAAAAGATTTGAAAGGCTTTTATATTGCCTGCCAACTTGTCAAAACTGGATATAGAGGAGAGGATATTGTTGGGAACACGGGGTGATGTGCTGGGTTACCATAAAAAGAATATCATTTATGATTCATCTCTATTATTTATCAATGTCTTACGCCAACGTGTGTCCCCAGGGTGCAGTCGCAGGTTGACGAGGTGATCGATGTGATGCAGGAGAACATCTCCAAGGTGATAGAGAGGGGCGAGCGGCTCGAGGACCTGCAGGACAAGTCAGGTGAGTCACTCTGAGACAGCACTATGTGTCCACATGTTCAGAATGTGTGTTTTATTTACAAAGTGAAATGAAGTTGAGACAAACTCTACAGGGAATGTTTTATCAGTCTCATTTGTTTTAATGGTTGGTTTCCCCCCCGGTAGCTCACACATGGTTTACACATGGCTCTGAGGATTGTTATCTTCACTGTATGCACGCTTATTTTGCCATTTGGTATTTGTTAATGGGCAAATCTGCAATGTGCTTCCGTTTAGCTGAAAAACACTTAGTTTGAAGTGGCCCAATTATCTTAATTGTATCTTTTTAAATCAAGCAAATAAAGGTTAGGTATATAAATCTCTGGAGGGATCTCAAGCCTGCAAATGAGACAAACTTCTCATCTGTTGCGTGTGAAGTAAGTACATTTAAGCAAGAATAGACAAATGATGGGCTCAATCATTATTTGGTGGATGTGCCCAAAGAGCAATGAGTGATTGAATTTGCTTCATTTCCAGTGTATTTGTGTGCCTGTACAAATCATTTAATAAAGCAGTTGCATTTATCTGATTTTAAAAAAACTGCAGAAAAAGAGCCGATGTTAAAAAGCCGTAGACTTTCACTGACATCTTCAAATGCATTACATTTGTCTGAGCAACAGTCCTGAACTCAAAGGTAATTTAGTTTACTAAAATATATCAGAGAAAAATAATGATATCCTGATACCTGAGAGCTGAAACTTGATTATTTAACTAAAAGCAGCTGATGTTCTTCTTAGAGACTAATCAATAAAGCAACTCATCTTTCCAGCTCTTTGGAAATAGTTACATATTTTAATTTGAAAAGCATTAACTTCCTCCTGAATCTCTCCTGCAGGTGTACTGTAAACACGCTCACTGCTCATTTAAGGTTTTAATGACATGGCCAGGTTTAGTGTTCTACCAGGTGTGCGTCTCACACTCTCATTCCGAACGCCCCCCTCTCTTTTGAACCCGTGTATATCAAGCAGGTGTGTGAAATGTGTTCAGCTCGCTCCGTTACTCAACTTCACACACATGCCAAGCTTTCAACAGGACACGCACAGGTCTACTCCTTCTGCTCCGCATGGACCAGAGGAAGAGGCTGCAGTGCTGCTGCCTCTTCATCTCATCCTCACAGATGTTATATAACTGCTTCTCCCTGTCATATCCACCAGCGAGCCAAAACAATGATGCACATCTGGAACACATTTGTGTGAATGAGGCTTTGTGTACATGTGAGTTTGGTGTATTTCTCGGTCTGTGTGTCTGCAGTGTGTGTGTCTGCAGTGTGTGTGAGCAATATGAAATCCTGTGATTGACAGGTCTCAGCTCCATGTGCACCTGTTGTCAAATTCCTGCAGATTAACAAGCCTCTTCTCAGTAGCCTCGTCTTGAGTGCCTCTCTTTGTGGTAGCGGCCGGCCGTTAACTGGCACATGCATGTGGGAACAGCTTACACATGGCGGGCACAGAGACTTTAAAGAGGGTCGGGGGCTTGGACCAGCTTTTCACTGCACGCTATGGAGCTGTAACTTTCCTGTTAATGTGCATAAACCTCCAGTTAACAACGGTATCCAAGAAACAGAGAGCCAGTGTGGGCGAGCGCTTTGGAGTGGAATATCAGGACAGAAGGGAGGAAGATTGATGAAATGTGTTTTTGCGCCGTTGTGTTTAAATTCGGCAAGTTGTTGTTTACCATTTAATGCCAATTGAGTTAAAGTACAAAAAAACATCTATTAATAGGAATGACCTCACCAGCTTAGCAACTTCTTACATAACATTTGACAACAGTTCAAGACAGTCACCTTGTCCCGCATCAATGCCAAAACAATAGCCTGGTTCTTGTTTACGTGGTGATTCATTAACTAATGTTTTTTCTCCAATGATTCTCCTCCTCGCGTGTCCTCGTCTGTGCTGCGGTCATGAAATGTCCCAGAGAGCCTATCGGACAACGCGTCGGCCTTCAGTAGCCGAGCCAAACACCTGCACAGGAGGATGTGGTGGCGAGACATGAAGGTGGGCTGTCTGTTTTATGTGTGTGTGTTCAAGCTCTTCATCCACTTGTTTTGACTTTCTAGAATGTTGAGGAATGTATTCATTGTGTGTTGTTTCTTCCACAGATGAAGCTGATTATTGCCTTGGTAGTCGTTGCTCTCCTGCTCATAATCATCAGTGAGTATTAGATCAACATGCAGATCAAATGGACTTGATGTGCAGAAGGTATCATTTCATGTTCTTTTCTCTCTTTCAGTCCCAGTGATCCTGCGATATCGCTAGTGTCTGAAGAGAAGGATGGGGGAGAATCCTCCTCTTCCTCTCCATCTTTCATCCCTCTCTTTTGCACACAGTCCTCCACTTCAGCTAGGGGGGGCGCCAATCACCCTCCTCAGTGTCAGCCTGTGTACCCCCAAGGATCTGACCTCAACTTGCCCTTAATACCGATCTTATCATTGGTATTTCCACATACATCTGTTGTGAGATCAGTACTAAGGCTTGGTTTGACCCTTGGTTTGACACTAATCCACAGCAAGGGGACACAGGCCACTTGTGGGGATATTTGAGTGCAGTTTGGGAGTAAATTACCCCTCTAGTCAATGTGAAAGAGGGCTCCATGCCATGAAACATATCACATGTAGGGCCCTGTCTTTGCCTTTGTAACAGGGAAACTCCTGGTCTTGCATTATTACACAATATAGATAGACACTGTAAAGACAGGAAGTCCATGCCAACGGTTTTCTTACTTTAGCTGCTCTGAATCTGAACCTCAGATGTCTATCCACGTGCTCTTCTCTGTGCCGGAAGATGAGAGCATTTATAGGGAACATTTTGTGAGCACAAGCACATTGCACCGTTCAACACGAGGAGAGGGAACATCTGAGGTTCATCTGCATAGTTGGCTTCTTTTAATCATCAAAAAGAGTTTCTGACAGGATAGTGGTTTCACCTATAAGGTATTTGTCATTATCAGTGCAGAGGACTTGAAAGAGGCCGAGAAAGAACATCATATTTCTAATTATTCTGTTCCATGAATAGTTTATTATCTTCTACAGTCAAAGTAAAACACCCGGGTTATGAATGTCTCCTCTCTCAACATCTCACCTTCCTCCTCTGGTCCGGTTTGGTCACAGCTGTCCTACTTTCCTGCTGGGGACATCAAACCGTTTTCTCACTCTGCACATGGTTCTCTTCGGTTTTAATACTGTTTCTGTCTTTTCCCCTTATTATTGAAAGTTCTTCCCTGGACGCTCGATGTGCTGCTTGTATGGATGCTGGTGTTCCTGTCGCCACTGAATTTGACTCATTGTATTGTTCCATTATTTTTAAGCAGGAGTGATTTAATGGATGCAAGTTAAAAGTCGAGCTGTGAAACAAACATAGGTGTCATTGTGTCTGGATTAATGAACTGTATAATACATTGTCATTTTATTATTTTGAATGTAATTTATTTTAGCTGTAAATATTGGTAATGATGTACAATACTCTGGCATTGCATTGGAAGACTGTGATACGGACGCTCTGAAATAAAGTGATTTTAAAGGGCACTGGTCTGGTTTCATCTGGTTTCATTCGGCTGGCTCTCTTGATGGACGGAGCAATCAGGGAGAAAAGCTTTGAAAATGTAAATGGGGAAAAAAGAAGATGGCTGGAGGTGAAGAGGGAAAAACTAATCGTCATGCCATCCCGTTGGCTCTTTCCCACTTTGGATATCCTTGTCCTGAGCTTTCTTTTCTCCTCTCATTACCCAACATTTTTTTATTGCTCTGTGACTTTACTGGCAGTGTTTATTCCCAAAATGGCACTAAAGTTGGTGGGACTGGAGGCCGTGAGGCGTTATGGTTCTGACAGACTCGCTGCCCTCCTCTCTGGACAGTAGATGCGAACACACGCCGACAGCTCTGCCCTTTGCTCAGCCAGCACTGCCAACCCCTTTATTCAGAAGGAGTACACATTCAATTGGTCCTCAGGGGTCTTTTACTTCATTGATTTATGGCAGATGGTCTTCCAGATCACACTAATTGCTGGAGCACACAGCAGGGGAGGATGTTCTTATTGAAGCTTTGAAGAAGAGCGAGGGAATTTAATCTCGTACACTTGTTTTAATGTTAAAGGGGTTTTGGTTAAAGAAAACGTAACTCTTGCTCTCTTGGAGTGAAATCAAAGGTTTTAAAGGGGTCTCTAAAATGTTACAGTTTCCAGGTCTCACAGAGATAATTCATTTGCTTTAAGTGCAAACCTAGTGTGTACTTGGAGGAAAAGAAAAGGAAAAAAATAGATCAGTGTTACAATATTATCGTATATTTGTGCACAAGATATTTCTATCCTCTCCGCTCTACAGGGACACACCCACACTGGCAGCAGAGGATGTTTTGGTCCTACGTTAAAGGGCTCATGCTGGATGACTTCAGATTCCGGGCATAGTTAGTATGAGCCATAAAACTGAATTTGACTCACAAAAGACAAGAGTGGACAACTTGCCAACCAGCATTCGTCAGTCTCTCACTCACACACACACACACACACACACACACACACACACACACACACACACACACACACACACACACACACACACACACACACACACACACACACACACACACCCTGTCCAGTGGAGAGATTAGGGAGTGCTGGATGTGTCAGTAGCTAGAGGAAAGAGAGAATACATTTCCATGTGAACCCTGTCACTTGGGATTTTAAAACACTGTTCATGTTTAAACACTCCTCATCTTCTCTTTGTGTTTATTTATAGTTCACCTCAATTTCTCACTTCTACTTTTCCAGAAGCGTCTTACTTCATTTCTTCTCTCCTATGTTTACACATGCTTTAGCTCTCATATTGTCCTCCTTTAATGATGTATTCACTTCATTCTTTCATGTGTCTCACCTTTCATCCTATCCCACTTTCTCATTGTCGAGATATTTCCTGTAAGAGGATGTGTTTTCAAAGTCAAACACATACCGCACCTTTTTCATCCATCTGTCCAACCAATCAGAGACTTGCCTCATCAATCAAGACGACTGTCTGAGGTAGCATCAGCTGTCGGTAAACAAGCACCAACAGAATAAGATGAGGCATCAGCCTGCAAGTACGTGTTTCTGAGTAAGTACCCTTCCTTTTTACGACCTTTGCCCTCTAGTCTGCTCTTAAGTGAGGTCAGGTTGATGTTCAGGGTGGCATGGCAGGTCAGCAGAGATGGCTGTAAAAGATCTCTAAACATACATAGAAGTACAAAGACATGAGGAAAATAAGCGTGGGAGAGGAGCCAGGCCAGATTCTGGAAACCCAAACAAAGAGGCAGGATATGAAGGTAAGCTGAGATTTATAAGGCGAGGATTGTGCACACCTGCCTCATCGCGTGCAACTCTGCAACTGTCTCACGTCCCAATCTTTTCATACTGCCTCTCTGAAAATAAACAAGAGTTCATCTTCCCTATCACATGACCGCAGAAGTGAGCCTCGCAGGCAGAAGTTCAACGTGTCTGTGATATTGTGTTAAAGCAAAGAGACGAGAGCAGCGGGACAAAAGGCAGACTGCGTCAAATCAAGTGACAGGAAGTGAGCTCTTGGGAGGAATCGTCCCCAGCAGCTCACTCATCATGTTGTATTAAATATCAACTTTATAAATCTGGAGTGAGTGGAGTCTGCAGCATGAACACACACATAATGTCCACAACAATCCAAGCTCAGCCGAAGGGACTATGTCGGGGTCAGGGTCATGTCCGGTCCGGTCATTGATTGATTTATAACTTCGACCCTTCCTAATGACAGTCCTTATTGGCTGCTTGCGTCACGTGCTGACCCCCTACCAACATGAAAGGAGACACCGGCTCCTCAGGAGGTAATTGTATCCAATGAGGTGCAACTCTCACTGCCATGCTGAGGCCAAAATGTAGCCAAATCCCCTCGGGACTGACACATGGCACTGCATCTCATTATCAGGGCATGTTTCTGATAAATGACATTTGGGGGAATTAATGAATTACTCAAATGTAAAGGACAGAGTGTTATGGTGGACCCTTAAATCCAAAAAACTGCTTTTGCAAAAACACAGACACTAAAATGTGTGTAAAAATTGAATGTTTTTTCGCCCAAAACAACCAGCATCCCATGACTTTCTCTGTTTTCCTCCCTCCCCCTTTTGCCTCTGACCTCCCCTTCCTCACAGTTTTCTGTCTCTCCCTCCCCTCCCTCCCTTTCACCTCTCCTCTCTTCCCCTCTTTACTTCCCCTCCAGATTGTATAAATATCTGTGAGCTGTTCACAAGAGCTCAGAGTTAAAGACCTGTCCACTGAGGAGAACCAGAGGGAGAGGGGAGGGCATAAGAAAAAGAAGAGACACCTGAGAAAAGAGTGAGACCAAATAGGAGAGAAACTCCTCAGCAGGAAATTGGCAGTGATTTAAAGAAGAAATCCATTTGGGAGCTGACAAATAAAACAAGACTTGAAGAAGTGTTTCTTCAAAAGAGAATTTAACTTTCTGACCTATCTGAGGAAGTCTCCAGTATGTTGGTCCTTCTCTTGTTGTGTACCTCTGGTCTTCTGCTGCGAGGGGACGCCCAGGACCAAGCTGCTCTGTGGAGGGGGAACGACCGCAGCGGACGATGCCAGTACACCTTCAGTGTTCCCAGCCCCACCGAGGCCAGCTGCCCTCAGACCGGAGGCCCCGAGGTGGAGGGCCTGAAGGCTAGACTAAGCCTGCTGGAGGTGCTGGTGTCCCGGCTGACTGGAGGGGACACAGGGGTTCCACAGGGGGCCACAGTCAGGGATCAGACTGAGCTTCATCAATCACTGAACCGGGTCACGGGGGAGAGGAACCTGCTGCAGGGGGAGAAGGAGCGTCTGGAGCAGGAGTTGGAGGGGCTTCAGCGCAGGATGGAGGAGATGAGGAGGGAGACGGAGAGGCTGAGGAACAGACCGTGTCCCCTGCAGACCCCCGCGATGCCGCCGAGCCCCCCGCTGCAGGATAGTGGCCTGACAAGACCTGCTGGGGGTAAGAGATACACTCTAAATCACCACACACTCTATGAGCTATTCAGAAAATGTGCAAACCTTAATGGCATTTATAAATAGAATAAATATTTTTACTTCAGAAGATAAACTTATGTTAGGAATTCTTTTTGGAAAACTATGCACAGATTTTTTATTTAATTTAAATCTCCCCATAACACCCTGCAAAGTGGATAATCAAATTGTTTGCGGACAGGTTGCCTTTCTGTTCAATTATATATTTGTTTGGCTTATATGAGAAATGATGACACTTAACACAATATCTATGTTTGTACATGCAGAGCCACACTAATTGGATTTCACAGTCACATGTGTGTGTCTGTTTGTTTCTCTACACTGCACGCAGCACGCAGCAACAGAGATAAAGCTGATTAATGATGCATGACAAACAGGGCGCGAATAGCCTGATTGGAAGTGAGGTGGGGTGGGGGGCTGAAATGTGATGCACGCTGAGGAAGTGGTGGTTCTTTGCCAAGGTCTCATCTCGGGGCTTTTGATGACGCCTGGTGGGTCAGGGCTGGAGGGCTTAAGGCCAAGAACACTACACCTCCAGGGGTTAGAGGGCTGCACTGATCCAGGCACTTATTGTTCAGCCAGAGAGGTTAAGCTCGGGCATTCTGTGTGTTTGCAGTGGCCAAACATGCATCTAATTAGTCTCTGTGCTCGTCTTTTCACCCACCATCCCCCCCTTTCTGTTCTGAGTTAAGCCATGGCTCTGTTTGCCCTCTTGGCTCTGAAGTATGGCTCGTAAATCCGTGATTGCCAGAGGCAGTAAATCCTTTCTTGCCATCCTCACATTCACCGGACATCTCCTCTCCCCCGCATCAAGGAGAGCTAACTTACTCCAGGTTATCTTTTTAGCTCCTCATGTTCGCACCTGTGGACTGAAATACACAGAGAGGGCCCCTCAGGGTGGGAGGCAGATGTGGAACAGATCGCAGCGAGAGGACGACATGCAGAACCAGAGAGGAGATAAAAGCAAACGTTGAGATAAAACTCTTGACAAGCTTATAACTCAAGCAGTGGTTATGACTTACCTCTCAAAATATATGAGCTGATAAATTATAATGTTATTTGATTGACAAATGGACCGTGACAGTCCAGCGGGGCAGGGCGCTGAAAGTGGAAACATGCTTTTAAAACAAAGACCTCAAAGCAGAACTCATGCAAGGTGTCAGCCGACTTTCAACCTTGCTCAAAAGAAAGTTGGTGTTATGACAAAATGTGCAAAATTCGAGACCAGCCATCTTAGGGGCCACATACTTTTGTTTCAGGTTGTATCAGTCACAGAGAAGAGCCTATGTGCAGTTTACTTGAGTTAAACCAATTGCCAAAAACATGTCGTTCAGACGTTTTATTTTCCAGGATGTTCAGCCAGAAGAAAACTGCAGTCGTAAATAATCAATGTGTTTATCATGCAGTGACTAAATGCCTGGACTTTTGATTAAAATGTGAATGTTTTCATTTTTTTCTGGTTGATTATACAATTCACAAATATGAAATACAGGGAAATAATTATGTTCCTGACAACAATATTAAGTGAAGGCTTAGGGGAACTTTTTTCTTTGACTGGACCCAAACAAGAGCCAACAGCTCCACTGACCTCTGAAAGCAAAGGTTAATTATCCGCTGGCTCCTCTGGCGGAGCCTCCTCTGGGAAATTAAGTGTGTTGGTCTTCGGGTTTAGGGTATACTGCTCAGTGACATCCCAAACAAAGAGCCAGGAACAAAGTGAACATATGGCTCACACACCCAAACACCCCGGGGAAAAGACAGTAACAGCATGTGTGTGTTTACCTGTGATGATGATGAATAGCTGTGTCCTGTGAACTCAACCCTTTAATGGCGAAACTTTCCTGTGTCACTCGCCATCTGCCCAATTACCAGCTTCCCGCTCCTCATCATCAACACAATGAATCAACATCAGCTTCCAGATGCTAGTGCTTTAGGTCCTCTGCACCATTAAAGATCATTATGGGCCGGAAACACTGGACAACACTGCACGTGCAAGAGCCAAGCAGGCACATGCTCACACACAAACAAACACCCATGGATGCAGGTACACTCACACAATTTATATACATATATTCTCATGACAAATCATTTGAAAAAGTAATTGTTCTTGTTGTAAACATGACCAAATGTGTATAAACAGTTTACTGACATTGTTCGACATTGATTACCTTTCGTAGTAATTGTTTCATGAAGGAACCAAATGGGAAAACAAGGACAGGGTTAAGGGCGAATGGGTAGAAACAAGAGGAGAAACAGATAAAGGAGACGAGAATAAGCCGGATATCTGACAGTGAAACAGAGGAGGAAGGGACATGTTCGTAGTTTGAAGTTTTGCGGACGTGAAGTTGACAGTACTGGGAAGGGATGGGTGTCGGATGTGTGTGTTATGGTCGGCCTAACTACCGACTGCCTGACTCCAGAGCAGCTGGGAATCCGTTCAGTCGGTGTTTGTTTCCTGCTGTCACATTCCCTGCTGTCGGTAGTGCCATGGCCACGTTTGGGTACACAAACACTCTCTGAACTATTATACGCTGCATGTTAAATGTGCCACAGTATTCCCTAAACTCGCTTACGTGTGTGTACAGGTTCCAGGCCCTCTCACCTGATAGCCAGGCCCAACAGGCAGGGGGACAGCAGCAGCTTGAGAGGTGGGACATGTTTTCTGCTGAATCTCCTCCAGCTTCCTGTTTCTTATTCAGTGTAATCCATGTCTCCATCTCTTCTTTTCAGACTCAGCGTGGCAGACTGGACCTCAAGGTTTCCAGGAGCTGAAGGCTGAGGTGACGGAGGTCCCTGCTCCAGATGGATCTGAGGAAAATACAGGTCTCTGTTTGACATATTCTTGCTTATTTCTAACAGACCATTGTGATTGGTTTCGAATGATATTTTAGCCCATGTTATGTTAAATCACCAACCATGCCGCAATGTTTAAATACTTTCCTCTTACCTAGAAATATTTTGAGAAAAAGTTGATGAATCTTACAGAACCTCATTTAGCTAGTTAAGCTTAGCCTGTGGAGTGTTTGACCACTAATGGCACTATGGAGGAATGTTATTAGAAGAAGGTCCCTGTTTTTTGTATCTTGCATGCCATCAATGTTACACTTTACAGCTGCAAGATTCCCTTTATTGCACCTTGACACGTTAACTCTTAAAGGTCCCATATCATGGCCATTTCTACTGATCATAATTCCATTGTTGAGGTCTACTAGAATAGATTTATATTGTGCAATTTTCCTAACTCACATTAGTTTCTCATACAGCATCTCTGTATAGTATGTGTATTCACTCTCTGTCCTAAACGGCTTGTTGGAGCTCCTGGTTGCTGCTTGGGGTCTTCGAGACAGCGAGACATCGCGAAACTCAGCCTGAGCACCATGGACGCGGGAAGGGGGGGCGCAGCACCCCCATCTGCGATGCTCCACTAGCACCCGCACCCCAGCGCGTCGCAGTTTCGCAACTGTGTGTGTGTGTGTGTGTGTGTGTGTGTGTGTGTGTGTGTGTGTGTGTGTGTGTGTGTGTTCCACGGATTGGTCCATTTGGACCAATGGGTACATTTGGGTATGGTCACGTCACTGTACCCAGCTGGGGAAAAAAAAAATCTCCAAGAGGCGTTCTGGGGCAGCATAGACAGGTCTTTTCTGTGTTAGAGTTTTACTCCCTACAGGGTGTACTTTGAGGGTTTGTGACCCTGCAGACCGTTTACATGCAGAAAAACCTTCATAACACACAAGGGGACGGGTAATAACCGGAAAAGCATGACATGGGACCTTTAATGCAAAATGCAGGGAAAGTCTGCAACTAGCCTGAGAGGACGTAAAGAATAAATACATATTTGCAAATTTTTTATGAGTAGGGAAATATATAAAAAAATATGACATTTTTTACAAAGCACCTTCTGGACCAAATCTGTGTGAGAAGTTTCATGAAGTCCCAAAGGCTGCCTGTAAAGTTCCTGAAAAATATATTTAAAAGCTGAAACTTACAAACATCCAAGTATATGAAAATCCAGAGCTGGCAGCTAAACCAACCCCTTCCCCTTCTCCCTCCTCCCCCTATGTCTATCTGACCTGGCAAACATGACACTTACCCCCCCCCTGCTGACAGCTTCAAAGCAAATACTGCTATTAATACTGCAGCATTTGGGGTGAGAATACCAGAGTCATGCCAATCCAGAGGTATGGGGGCCTGCCCGTGATTCATGTTTATCTTTTAGGGATAAGGGAAGTAAGCGCTTAACGAGGGCGTCATACACACCCCCCCCTCCCCACACACACACACACACACACACACACACACACACACACACACACACACACACACACACACACACACACACACACACACACACACACACACACACCGTTGATGCTTGTGCTTGATTGTTTTGGAGATCATGGAAATACACATGCAGTAACCACGTAAAGTCATATCATCTCTGACGCAGACAGATTCACAGAAGCTACATGGCAATGTGTGTATTTATAAAACATATTCCTTTCTAACCCTTAATTCGGTTCTACGCCCTGGACCTGAGAGCGAGGGTGTATTTTTGGAAGTGGTAAATATACAGCCGGCCTTATCGTTTTCCCACCACAGAGATCCCATCCAGGATGAGTTGTAGCCCAGTTGCTGCTCTGTTGGGTGTGACTCGGACAAAGCTGAGGCTAAGGGAGATGTCAGGCAGCATCTCTCGGCCTGCTGTCTGCCTCCATGAGGAGAAACAACCTAATTTCACCCCTGAACAGCTCTCAGATGATGCCCTTTGTCCCACTGCAACTTACATGTAGATCCCCTTTAATGTGTTACACCTACCATGTGACATATGTGTCCGAAGTCACCTTAAGTAGAACAAAAATCTTTTATTTGAGGACGTTTTTCAAGAAACCCAATCGTAATGTTTCTGATCAATTGATTTCCCCAACCCTAGACTTAACCTTAACCAGTCATCTCTGTGACTCCTAAATAGAAGTCAAAGTCCTAAAATCTCACAACAACGAGCACTGCCACAAGAAACATTAGTGAAGGGGAAACAGGAAACAAGAGCTCCAATCTTTTTGATTATGTCAACGAGAGTTAGAGTTTTGTTCGCATATTACACGTAGTTTATAAATTCTTCTTATCTTCCTTTTCTTCCTGCCTACAGGTTGTGGGGATGTGGTCTCAGTAGGTGAGCCGGTCACTCACAGGAAGGCCGACACCATAGCAGGTAAATATGGAGTTTGGATGCAGGACCCTGAGGCGGTCTCCCCGTACGGACCCAACATGATCTGGCGCATCGACACCATAGGCTCTGATGTCAGGCAGCTGTATGGATATGAAGACATGGAGCAACTCACTAAAGGCTTTCCGTCCAAGGTTGGTGTCACATAAATTATATATGTTCAAAAATAAGTTAATTCCTAGTTATAACTTCCTTTTGGGGAGGAGGAGGCGGCATAGGGTTAAATGGGCATGTACCAATCCAATTGTCAGGGGTTTGATCCGTAGCCCCAAAGGCAACATGTCAATGTCAAAGTGTCTTTGGGCATCATACTTAACCCTAAAAATGCTCTGTGCCATTGAAGTGTATTTAAGTCGCTCTGGATAAACGGGTCACGTATGACATTGTATCTTAATGTTTTCCCACGACAGGTGCTGCTGTTGCCCGAGCTGGTGGAGAGCACTGGCTCCACTCTGTACCGAGGCTCTCTGTACTATCAGAGACGTCGCAGTCGTTCCCTGATCCGCTTCGACCTGGCCTCCGAGAGCATCGCAGCCCGCCGGGAACTCCCCCATGCCGGCTTCCACGGACAGTTCCCCTACTCCTGGGGCGGGTACACGGACATCGACCTGTCTGTGGACGAGCAGGGTCTGTGGGCCGTGTACTCCAGCAGCAAGGCCAAAGGAGCCATCGTGATCTCACAGCTGGACCCAAACAGTCTGGAGGTGAAGAGGAGCTGGGAGACCAGCATCAGGAAGAACTCGGTGGCTAACTCCTTCATCATCTGTGGGAAGCTGTACACCGTGGCCAGCTACACGTCCCCCGACACCACCATCAACTACATTTATGACACTAGAACCAGCCAGGGGAAGTCTGTGGCCATCCCATTCAAGAACAAGTACCGCTACAACAGCATGATCGACTATAACCTGGCTCAGAGGAAGCTGTTTGCCTGGGACAACTTCCACATGGTGTCCTATGACCTGAGGCTGGGCCGCCAGGAGTGACCAAATAAGATAAAAAGTGACACTTGCTAACCTGTTCCTGCTTCAAAGACTCAGAGCTTTAGAGCATAATTGTGTATCTGGTAGGTCAGTTACAGTGTAAAGCCAACACCTTCTGTATCAACGTGTTGAAGAGACTAACTAACAAAAATGGAGAGTTTGAGGAACCCCCCAGGTGGGCTTTTGCTGTGGCACGGCCCACAATTATGTTTTTAGAGGAATTATTTTTCTACCGCCTTTAATTCAGATGTATTATTTTGTTGTTTTCTTGATAAGCTATATATATTTGAGGACTGAAAGATGATACTTAATGCATACAGTTTATAAACTCCCGTTTTTACCTGCCTTGAAGTGTTTCACCATTCTACATCTTTACATTAAACTGCTCCCTCAATTAGCATGTACTGAATATTGCATGTACGTGTACAATGAAGTCAACATAATGACTTGTGTTGAAAATCATCATGAATTAAATGTCCTAAAGTACTAAGGTTTATGTGGTTATTGTATACCTCAGATAATTATTTGTACCACTTTATCAAGTAGTAGTTCTAAGCAATAACCTTAATATACATAGTTGGTGCAAATAAAGACCATGGCCCTGGCCCCTTTCTCATTTCTCTAACTCCCCTCCTCGACTCC